GTCTATGTGTGTGTGTGTGTGTGTGTCTCTGTGTGTGTGTGTGTGTGTGTCTGTCTGCTCTAGAAACAGCTAAAAGTCTAAAGTTACACAGGTGAGTGTATTTGGTTGTTTATTTGGGTTTGCTGAACGTTGATGTGTTTTATATCTGTTTCTGGAGAGCAGTGAGGTATTTTAGCACGGTAACACCGCTCATCTGTGCTGATCTTCAGTTCTGAAGTGTGACAATTCTGCTAAACTTCTCCAGACACGTTTATTTCTGTTGTGATTTTACAATACAGGGCTCTTAAAAGATCAAACTCAGTTTTATCAAATTATAAGAAGGCTTAAATATCCTGAATGTGTAAGATATGACACACATATGCATTTTATGTGTGCAGATCTCAAGAAAAATTGTACATTTAATCAGAAAAACGGGATGAAGTGTGTGAAACTGCTGTGAATCAGCATGCTTGTTCATGTGTGTGTGGAAAGGAATGCTGCTTTATGAACCGGTTTCAGTCAGAAGCGGATCATGAACAGAGCAGTGCAGGACAGCAGCTGAGAGAGCTTTCACAGAAGAAGAGCGTTTGGATGAAAGACTGAAGAGCTGCTGGAGGATTGTAGAGATGTGAGAAGCCTTGTGTAAAACTGTCCTGCGTTGTTCTCATCCAGATATCACACTGAGGAGGTAAGCAGCAACAATCCTCTTTGTAATTATTACGCCTGTCTAAATTGAAGTGAAAACTAAATTTACAGCCTTGATTGCTGTTATTGATATAATCTAAGATATTTTTCAAATATTAATATTTGTGTTATATCAATATGCATTGATATTTAATCAAAAATACAGTAAAACTGAATTATTAGTTTCAAACAGCTGTTTTCTATGTGAATATCTGTTAAACTGTAATGTATTTCTGTGATGCGCAGCTGTATTTTCAGCATCATTACTCCAGTCTTCAGTGTCACATGATCTTCAGAAATCATAATATGCTGATTTGCTGCTCAAGAAACATTTCTGATTATGATGAATAAAAATCAAAAGTACTACTTAATACTGTTCTTCAAGAATGCATTAAATTGATGAAAAGTGACAGTGCATGCATTTATAATGTTACAAAAGATTTCTGTTTCAAATAAATGCTGTTCTTTTGAACTTTCTGTTCATCTGTGAATCCTGAAAAATAAAATGTATCAGTTTCCACAGAAATATTGTGCAGCACAACTGTTTTCAACATTGATAATAATCAGAAATGTTTCTAATAATCAGCATATTA